GGTAATGTGATTGTATACAAGACGAATATAACAACAAGAGCTTTTTTTGAAATAGTATTGTTTCCTTGTTTGTGTATATTACATTTGGTGCCGTGACCAGGATGGCAACTTCGAGTCGTACGAGCGTAGCGCTTCCCGAGACCTTTTCAGATGGGGATATTTGTTTTATGGCTGCGAAAATTCGAGCTTTGTTCGACCGCAAACGACTGGAAAGATACCGACATGTTAAAAAGGTTACCGACACTTTTGTCTGGTAAGGCCTTCGCAGTTTTTGAGCGTCTCGCAGCAGAGGCCAAAGAAGATTATAAAACCCTTACGAAAGCTTTAACGGCGGCGTTTGGCGGAGATACAACGGGCAAACATCTTGCAATGATGGCGTTTCGCAGTCGAACGAGAAAGCCAGACGAAGACATACAAGTGTTCGCCTACAATTTAGAGGCACTATTAAGGCGCGCAGTGCCAAAAATCGAAAACGGAGACAGAGATGTCCTACTCCAGCAACAATTTATCGAAGGAGTACCCAGAGAACTAAAAATGGAATTATTACAACGACCAAGCATGTCCTATGAAGAAATGGTTGCGGTTGCCCAGCAACTAGATTTAGTGAGTCAAATTTCATCACACCAAACCGGGAGTCAAGTCAACCTGGCAAGTGCGAGTGACAATTTGCAGACAACAACGAGGGATCAGTCCTTGGTTGCGCAGTTGATGGAAAATGTAGAAACACTTACCAGGAAGGTTAGTGAATTATCTGTATCTGTCGCCAATGTCAACGCCACGTCAGCGCGAAATTCTACTCGGGGAAGACAGGGGCCTTGCTATCAATGTGGCAAGATGGGCCACATTGCCAACGAGTGTAGAAGCACCGGTAACGGAAGTCGACAACCAAATTACCGACAACGCAGCGCCGAAAATTACTGCTTCGTGTGCGGGCAAATCGGACATTTTGCGCGAGAATGCCGATTTAGATACCAGTCCCCTGTCGCTGGTCAACCGCGTCAGGGAAACGACCAAGGACCGACCCATTACTAGGCCGGGGGTCCGTCCAAGTAAATACGGCCTTGCCCATAAACTGTATCCAGCCTACTGCGGTTTTCATCAAGACACGAGTGGGTGCCCATGAGCAAAAATGTTTGGTGGATACAGGTGAAACGGTATCGTTAATAAGTCGAGAACTTATAAGTGGGCCTTTAAAGCCATGTTCGTTGAAGGCAAGAGGGATCGGTGGAGAGGAACTACAAGTCCTAGGAATGAAAGAATTGGAAGTCAGTATCGGCACATTGACTATATCCCACCAGTTTATGGTCGTAGGAATGAGAAACACCTGTATTTTAGGTGCTGACTTTTTGAAGTCAGGGCGAATGGTCGTGGATATAGCAAATTCGAAATTAACTTGGCCATCGGGAGAAGTGGCGTTGGTAATCGAGACAACTGCACCAACTGTCAATAAATTAAGCGTACTGTTAGATAATTATTCAGATATTTTTGTAAGCGGACCAAATGACCCTTTAGGCCGAACCACTGTAGCAGAACACTCGATTGACACAGGAGACAGCCGTCCTGTGAAGCAACGGCCTTATAGAATTTCTGTTCATCTCAACACTGTAGTGAACAAGCAAGTGAACGACATGATCGAAAGAGGTGTAATCCGATCTAGTAACAGTCCCTGGTCCTCACCAATCGTATTAGCTCCGAAGAAAGACGGGGATTATAGATTTTGCGTTGACTTTAGGCGAGTGAACTCGGTGACAAAGAAGGACGCTCATCCTATGCCTCGTATAGACGAAATTCTGGACCAGTTAGGCGGTGCGCGTTACTTTAGTACCTTGGACCTTGCTTCCGGGTACTGGCAAGTACCTCTAAGGGAAGAGGATATGGAGAAAACGGCTTTCTCCGTTGGTGCGAACCACTATGAATTTACAGTTATGCCCTTTGGTTTAACTAACGCTCCCGCCACATTTCAGCGCATGATGGGGAATATATTGATGGGTATTAAAGGCTGCCTAGTATTCATGGATGACATTATTATTTTCTCGGATACGTGGGAGGAACATCAACGTATTTTGGACGAAGTATTTCGTCGTATTCGGGCAGCAGGGTTGAAGATCAAGCGAGACAAGTGCCAATTTGCACAAGAATCGGTGAAATTCCTTGGCCACATTGTATCTGCACGGGGAACAGAACCAGATTCGTCCAAAGTTGAGGCCGTGCGAGAATTTGCGACCCCGACCTCTCTCACCGATGTTCGAGCGTTCGTTGGGATGGCCTCATACTATAGACGGTTTATTAAGAACTTTGCGGACATCGCTGCACCGCTCCACGACCTAACCAAGGGTGGCCAACCAGAATTTTGTTGGACACCTGTGGCCGACAAAGCATTTAATGACCTCAAAAGTCGTCTGTGTTCAGCACCTATCTTGTCCCTACCAGACTTCTCCGTTCCTTTCACCATTTATACGGATGCCAGTGATTTCGGCCTCGGCGCTGTCTTGTCCCAGCGAAGAGGTGAAAACGAGTACGTGATCGCGTATGCCAGCCGGACCCTTACGTCTGCGGAGAAAAATTACTCAACCACGGAGAAAGAGTGTCTAGCCATTGTTTGGACAGTCAATTATTGGCGGCCATATTTACTCGGAAACACCTTTGACATAGTGACAGACCATCAAAGTTTAACGTGGTTGCAAGGATTGAAAGAACCGAAGGGTCGTCTCGCCAGGTGGATCCTTGCCTTACAGGAGTACGATTTCGAAATCAAGCATCGCCCGGGTCGACAACACAGCAACGCAGATACCTTATCGCGTTTCCCTCGAGTGACACCCCCGCAGATACCAGACCAAAGCGTGGATGAGGACTTGATGGTCGGTGTAAACGGTACCGAGGTGTGCACGTCGTGGTCCAAGACAGAAATCTTAAAGGCACAACAGGACGACCCAAGCATTTCCATGATAATGCAGAAGTTAAGCTGCAGCGATGATCTACCAGAGGAAGGAAATGATAATGATAATTCTAAGGAGAATGGTGAAAGGCGACGCTACAGACAGTTGTGGTCACAACTAGAAATGGTAGATGGCGTTCTACACCGTTGTGTAGATAAAGGTACTCCATCGAAGCGACTAGTTTTGGTTGTCCCTCGAAAGATGCGTTGCGACCTTTTAAAACTTTCTCATGATGACCCATGTTCGGGACACATGGGAATAAACCGCTGCTTAGAACGTCTGCAACGACGATATTATTGGCCGGGAATGGCAGCAGAAGTGCAACTATGGATAGCTGAGTGCGAAAAGTGCAACAGACGGAAAACACCCGTCCCATCTCAAAAGGCACCCATGCAGAGCATAGAAATTGGACAACCGATGGAACTGTGGGCTATGGACGTATTAGGTCCACTTCCTATGACTGCACGGGGGAACCAGTACATCTTGGTTATGTCCGATCACTTTACCAAGTGGGTAGAGGCGGTACCAATGCCCAATCAACGTGCCGAGACGGTAGCTAAAGCCTTCGTTAATGAAGTAGTGACTCGACATGGAGTCCCAAGTAAACTTCTAACCGATCAAGGAAGGAACTTCGAGGCCGATCTCATGAAGCAAGTGTTCAGTCTCCTCGGTGTGCGAAAACTAAGAACTTCGCCGTACCATCCCCAAACGGACGGACAAGTTGAGAGAATGAATCGCACGTTAAAGGGAATTCTGACAGCTTATGTAAATAAGGACCATAATGATTGGGACGATCACTTACCACTGGCCTTGTTTGCATACCGTAACAGTGTGCATTCCTCGTCAGGGATTTCACCTTTCCAGGCAATTTATGGTCGCGAAGCCACTACACCGCTGGTACTTATGAACACCGAAACTGAAGTTAAGGAACAGTTTATTTCAAATTACTGTGATGAACTGGAGAAGACATTAAAGGACGTAATTCGCAGCATCAAAATGAACATTGACGTGGCGCAAAGTAAGCAGAAGAAAGGGTACGACGAACATAATGACGTTGACCGAAGTACATCGCTAAAGGAAGGGGATCGGGTGTGGCTCAATAACAAAGCGGTACCAAAGGGCTTGAGCCGCAAATTCCATTCACCGTGGACGGGGCCTTACGTAGTGATCAAGAGACTGGGCAAGGTAAACTACCATATCAAGCCGGGGCCTGGGAACGGTAAGACAAAAGTGGTACATCGCAATCGACTTAAGCTAGACATACGCCAGCCTAGAATCGAAGAAACCCTGTTTGTTGATCAACCAGAAAAGCACAACTCGAGAGTCGAATTGCTCCCAGGCGAGCCAGTGATACATCACGGAGAGAGGCTGGCGGACGCACAGCTGTTACCAGCAGAGGAGCTGATCCAATTGCGGAGGTCTAACCGTAATCGCCGACAACCTGATAGATATCAGGATTATAACTTAGATGAACTAGAGATCGAGGACGCTCTCAATTAAAGAGGGGGATATTGTAACATATGCTAGTGATTATATGGTTTAATAGGGATTAAGTAATAAGAGACGTTTTATATAGATATCTGATGACAGGTAGAGACTGAGGGTAATGTGATTGTATACAAGACGAATATAACAACAAGAGCTTTTTTTGAAATAGTATTGTTTCCTTGTTTGTGTATATTACAGTTCCCCCAAACCCACAACATTTGTTCTTAATCAGATTATATTTGCTGTGGATCCCATGTTTATATATGCATGACAAACAATTCGCAAATTTCCAGAAGATATGCGGATAAATCAAAGGAAAAAATCATTGGAAGCATCACGGAATTTCACGGAATTTTACTGAATTTAGTATTCGATAAGGAAATCTTATGTTTTTGTGGAAACACTGCATTTTCTATTCTTCTTTGCAATATGAATTTTTGCAATCTGATGTAAATTATGAAGAAAACGTTATTGGATTATTTTAAAAAAAACCGAAAGAAGTCTTGCAACGAAAATAAAAGTGATTCGCGAAGGAACGGGTATTCTTCCGTGGAGCGTCAAGAGAGTGTATCCAGAATGTCGATATCGACATCTCATGACATTGAAACATGTATCGACCTCGAGGAACGTTCGCATATTTCCCCGACAACTGACGACACGTTCAAGATGAGCGAAAAAGCGAAGCATGTCTGTTTGGTGCTCCATCCAATCCAAGTACAGAAAGGACAAGCGTATTCGGAGCGGCGATTGCTACGACAGACGATAAAAACAGGCCGTTTCTCACTGATTTGGATTGACAAGTTGAGCAACATGTGCAAGATGAACCGTTTACAAACGATGCGTCAAAACCTCCTTTTTTTCCAAAATAAAGAAGCTCCATGTCAACCCAACTTGAAAGTACACCCGTGCAGGAACGCGATTTGGAAGTAGATTAAGACTCTTCAAATCCAGCTTGTAAGGTGAATATAAATGGTGGAATAGAACGAAGAGCTGAATGCTTGTTTTTGTTTTACACTGTACTTGTAGACTGTTTTTACCAAATCCGACGGAGATAGCATTCACTAAAATTGGTTTTCGTGATTGGAAACACGACAAGGAGAAAGAAAAAGGTATTACCTACATCATTCTTCGAATGATCATTTGAAAGCAATGGGGATTTATGAAGAAAGGAAAATGCGAAATTTACACGCCTGCACTGTTGTATATAGCATCTCTCCTGTCACTTAATAACTGATCAGAAACAGTGGTTGTTTGCTGTTTTCAACGTATCAAGATACTTACGTGCAAATTCCCTCCCGTTTCGTGGCACGAATGAATCTGATATTGACGCAGATGATGGTTTGTTTCTAAAGGCTTTTTCTCAACTTTTGTCCCCATTAAAAAAAAATAGAAGAAAATCCGCACAAATCTTCCAAGAAATGCTAAGTACACTTCTCCTGATATACAGAACGAAGTGATCGAAGTACTAGCTTTCTTAGTGAAGAGTAAAATTGCTGAGGACGTACGTACTGTAAAGCGGAAATGTTTACTATTATGGCTGATCGTACTACTGATAAAAACAGAAAGGAAATCCAAGGCCTTGTTTGCCGCTATTTATATTTCGAAGGGAAAATGCAGGAGCATTGTCTTAACGTGAAGGGAATCGACGATCGCTCTGCTAACGGTATTTTCAATTTTAGCAAAGATACCTTAGCAGAATTTGAAATCTCACTAGTTGACGGTCTTGTATCGCAGTCTTTTGATGGCGCTAGCGTAATGTCTGGGGACTATATAACGGACTACAAAAGCTTGTAAGTAATTTTTGGCGTCATGGTCAAGAGGAATATCAGCGAATTTTCTCTTTCTGTAACTCGAATTATAAATTGAGTTAAAGAAAAATTACATTTCTATAACGTTATATAAAGATAGTCCGTACGAAATATTAGATTTCATATTATCATATATAGCTTACAATTTAGGCTTTATCGTAATAAAAGTCTCTGATATTCAGATGAATCGGTTGCGCCACATTATCAATAATGTTGTCCATGGTGAAAGAATCTAACAGTTTGTTCTCCTTGCTTCTGTCCATGATTAATAGCGGCGATTCTAGATGATTTGCCGATAACGTGCCTCGTAATTCCTCGTAATCGTGTTTTCAACAGTTCAAGTTTTGAAAATGTTCGTTCGCAAAATGTTCTTTGTAGCAGGCAAGGTTAAAGCCAGTTTGTATACCTAATACAAGTTCTTGTAAGTTGCTGAATGCATTTCATATACTTAACGACTCAAAAACATACATACACATGACAATTGTTGCATCTTCTGCCTTTCTGGCAGCATCTAATAAATCTACCACGACTTGATAGTTCCTGATTCTCACCATCGTCACGAGCATCATCTTTTCTCTTCATGGTCATAATTGGCTGTATTACTTTCGTGAGTCCTTGGTTGAGTTGATTCATTTCCAAACGCAAGATTGTCACCGTTCGGTTCTCTCATGAGTCTTAATTTCTTCCGCTGCACTGTGAACTTCACTTTCTAGGTTGTTTGAATTCTCACTGGAATCATCTTCTTGCGAAAAAAGATCGCAGTTCTTAAATATTTGACTGGCGAAAGTAACAAGCTTTTGCTCTAGGGATTCCGGCTCGGATATATGATCACCAAATATATCCAACAGTCCAGTTACAGAAATCCTTGTCGTCGCTGCAATTTTTGTTTCCGTAGACAGTCGGACTCCTCATTGATAGTCGGACGCATCATTGACCCGCGCACTTAAACAAAATATTCAGCGGATACTCGTCGCTCGCAATTGGTGATTTCAAAATCAGTATTGCTTGGTTGAGATATCAAAATCTGAGCTGGACACATTGTGGCTTCATACCTTGTGTGGTGATGACATCCGACAGGAGCGATTCACATTGCAGAATACCAATCCACTTTTTAAGCTATGCCTGTCAAACATCATGGATACGATGTATTAATACATCTACATTTATTCTCAATAGATTAATAATTAGATGGTGGCCCGGTAAAGGTAGCTACGAGGTATATAGTGACTTAGCATTAATAATAGATTAAATTGTCATATGTAGCTCTCTATTCTAGTGGATACGCGGATACGCAGTCAAGTACTTATTTTGAGAACGAGGCATACATTAGATCAAATTCTCACGCTATAGGTAGCTCTATATGTTAGTGGATACGCGATTGCGTGGCAGTAATTAGTTGGCAGTAATAGATTAAATTCTCATGCTATATACGGAGAGCTTAAATGTGGTGTAATATGCAAATATGTTCCTCACAACCGGACATTGGTGTTTGACAGATTATGATTAATTAGCGTCGTTGGGAGAAAATATTTTATATTATAAAACATACTAAGCATAATATTAAACATTAAAGTCTTCCATGATATTTCCCTTATAGTATCAATTCGTAATATTGTCTTAGTAATTAGTTTCAACTTGTATATTAGAACGAGACAATAAGATCTGGTATATACGTATCCAGTGAAATAGTGGCCGGGCTACATGATATGTATTCCGTACACAGGGTATTCTGCAATACTTCTATTGTGGAAAGTGATATTGATTGTCGCTTTGAATCTTCCACTATTTCCTTGCATGCTAGTTATCTTATCCTGATTCTCTTCAAAAGGGATGATATATAGTTTTAACTCGCAATAACCGTTCTTGAGTATTTTCGGAACCAGAAAAACAAGTTTGTAGATTTATTATGGCATCGCGAAGTAAATCGTTCATCTTTCTACACGTGGTCGAAGAAGAACAACGTGGAGTGATGGATATATGGTGCACCAGTGGGATACGAAAGGATTCATTGATAACGCGCGGAGGCCTGGACGCGTATCAATGATGCGTTCGACTATCAATGAGGAGTCCGACTGTCTACGGAAAAAAAATTTGCGTCGTCGCTTTGCCTATCTCTTCAAATCTCGACGGACATATTAATGATAAACCTACATACAATTTTTTGTGGGCTGCAAATCGCTTTTCCAAACTTTGCAATGAAGTATCATAAACAGAATTATATACACCTACCTCAAATTTCTCGAGCTCATCCAAAATGCCAATATCATCCCGACCATTTTCCACGTCCGTTCGTCTCCTTGCTTCTGTTGACGTCCGTGGTTTTGGCAAGCAATCTTCAACAATAATATTTTCAAGAGCCTCTTCTTCGGTCAACTGAGAATTGAAAACTCCCACAAATTTATCAGTTGCTATCTTGATGTCAGAAAACATTCTGCTATATGTTCGCGAAGCATAAGAACAGATTTTCAATTTGAACATATGCTTGCACATGGTCCATCCCACTAGAATCTGAAGTTAATCGCTGAGTGGTCGCAAAAATCTAAACATGCTAAGGAAAACCATGGCAGTAAGGATTACCCGATATTCCAAGAACCTACCTCGAAGCCCTGCAGCTTGAGTTCTTATGGATTGGTTTTGACTGCTATAATGCAGTAAGTACGTCAAGCAACGGATTATAACAACGGATTATATGAGTCTGGATCTTGAAATGAATGGTTCCGATTTGGCATTTAACAATCCTATCCCTCCAGGCGTCCATACGCTTGTACGAATTCCTGAAGGAAATTAGCAGCTTTTCCACCAGACCGGATAAAGACCAGGCTGGAATTGATGTGCACGAATCATTCACAACCGGGTTGAGTGCGTGAGCTTGACAGCGAATATACACATGATTTGGAACGTTCTCCTTTGCTTTAGCCAGCTGTCCATTGTAAATAGTTGACCTGCATCTAAGGACGAAAGCGGACTTATATTCATTTATGCAACTTTCTTTCGTCAAAATTCAAGACTGATTGGTTATGTTAGTGAATATATGTTAATGCGACCTAAAACGACCTATAAAGCAACTTATATATGCGGATTATTTGTTATGATATGGATGAAAATAAAGCTATAGTGCTTGCCTCTGCAAATTCCATTCCCAGGCCGATATTATAGGTGCATATGGAGAAAGCGAGTATATCTAACTGGAGTATATAGTAAATATGCGATAACTTGAAACAGTATTATGTTTTGCCCAGATTGGGTTTGACATGTATTTTTGGTACGACATGGCCGGCTGTTTATGCATCCAAATGCACAATCTGTACGTTATTGCAGGTGGGTTTCACTTAGTAATTAAACAAGGGGAAACACAATTTTGCCATGCATGTATTGAAGAGTTATACCTGCATTGGGTGCCGGTCATAGTTGTATGTATGAGCGACTACTTAATAGATAATTACTGAGGCCAACGGCATTATTCGATATATTGCAGCCAGCTGAGGCCGAAGGCCGAAGCTGGCTGCAATATATCGAATAATGCCGTTTGGCCGAAGTAGTTATCTATTATAATTACTGACGTTAGTCAAACCTATTGTTTCTTCTCTTTAGATAGTGGCATAAATTATTTCCTCTCAATTGGCTTTTGTTCTGGCTTTATAGCCCTTATTTGCAGTTTGGAGCTTATGTGCATACTTATATGGCTCAGTTCATTAGATTTAATTTCTTTGTGTAGCCTTTTGTTTGATCTTACATGCTAGGTGGCGTCGCAATTTAGGCTTAGTTGTCTATTTTTCAAAGCTTTTTACTTGATGACA